CGTTATTAAACAAAACGACAAAACTTAGCCTAAGGGTAAAAAAGTCAAAACCACACAACTTTTTCAGTCTTTGCGATTCTCTCTGCTTCAGTAAGCGAAACCGCCTGCTAGGTTTCTCGGATCTCGGCGGTAACGCGACGGCGCCGTCGCCGGAGATTCAGATTTCTTCTTCTTAACATCCATTAACGAACAATACTCTCTTCTCAAACTTTCTTCTTCGTCCATAATCATCTGCTTCGATCTACACTCCACGCTACAAAACGCTCTATCACCTCTAACCAAAATTCAAAAACAAAAAAAAAGATCTCATGAAAAAAAAACAAAATCAAGAACAAACAAAAAAAAGCCCATTATTGATGATGACTTACTTATACATGTAGATATCTTTCGCAGGAAGAAGTTTTCTTCTACAGAGAAAACAATGTTCGAGAAATCCAGAATCTTGATAACAACGACGGAGATTAGTCGTGTCCGTCGTCACGGTGGTGGTGACGATAACGTTGGCTTTGTTGACGACTTTAGGACTAATAATTAAGCCACCGTCACTGTTGAGAGTGTTGTTGTTGTTGTTAGTCATCTCCAAAACAATACTTAGTCCCACCATTATTTTTGGTTTTGTTCTCTCTTATCTCATTTCTTTCAGGTGTTAATGGCGAAAAGAAGAAGAAGAAGTTTTTTTTTGTGTTTTTGGATTCGCAGAGAAAAAAGTAAAAAGTTTTATAAAATGTTTATAGAAGATAGGTGGGACCTACAAGTGTACTACGCGAGGACGATTGATTTTGATTTCTTTTGCTTGATAATCGCCACGTGTATCCTTATATTCATTACTTGTGTAAACTTTTTTACCCATTTTTTGGGGATAAATGTTTACAATATTATCGAATTTTACTTTTGTCGTTTTGTTTTGTTTTTGTATGCTATAGGTGAGTTTGTTTTGATGCGTGTCATCTTTAAATTTTAGTGCTTATTTCATGTTTTTTTTTTCTTATGTAGTTTTATCATTTCTAACTCTATTTCGTGATGCTAAGATGGGATTATTACGGATTTTGCCCTTTTTTATAATGGCATTTATGGATTTTGCCATTTTTTGAATAATTTATGGATTTTGCCCTTTTTTAACACTTAAAAATGTATGTATTTATGATTTTTTTTTGCAAAAATACGTACATTATACCAAATACTAAACCCTAAGAACAACTGGAACCGACTAAACCCAAACATAACGAATGAAACGCATGTTAAATCATATTTTTGGAGCCTAAAAAAGGGCAAAATCCATAAATTATTCAAAAAGGGCAAAATTCATAAATGCCATTATAAAAAAAGGCAAAATTCGTAATTAATTCTGCTAAGATAGTAGTTTTACTTTGACATGAAGTGATTGATGGTGTTAATATGATGATAAATATTGTTGGGAAAACTCAATGATTTTCTTTCTTGTGATTACGGTGAAAATGAAACAATAAAAAAAGATAAGATAAACTAACTCTTTTGTATGATAAGAAAGAGACCATAACACATCATTGTATTGCTTTCTATTTAGTTGATTTTACAAGGCCACCATGTACTTGTATTTATATTAGTGGTGATAATGTGCTCGCTTATTCTAAAATGTATATTTTTTACATTTTTGGATAGCCTTATCCATAAGCTAATTCATACTACGTGAAGAAATACACTTTGCTGGAATCGAATTTTCATAGAAAAAGCCGTATAGGTATAACCCGTACGGT